GTTCATGCAGTACAGGGGGGGTCGCGATATAGTGCTACCCTATGTCAGTGCCACTGGCATAGGGTAGCACTATACTGTATCGAACCAGGCACTGAAAGTTAAGGAGAGTTACGGCTTTTTGCAGCGGGGGGGGGGGGGAGGGAGGACAATTGGGGGAGAGAGCTGCAGATCTGATCACATGCGTTTTCGTTGGATGACGTTCTCGCAACAGCGCCATCCACGTGGCTGTGTGTATCATACTGGACAGACAGAGACATGAGACTACGAGCCGTACTGTAAAATTACTGTACATGTGCGGAAACCATTACAGCGAGCACAACTCCTACGTGTACACGTTGTGTACACGTTCTGCCACGTATTCATTACACGACTCTTACTGCTTACAGCGCAGATAACTTGCGCCACTGCTTCGGTCGGGGGGCATGCCGTCCTCTGCGGGGACTTTCCACCCTCTCCCCTCCGCGCCCCTCTTCGCCCCTCTTCGCCCCTCTTCGCACCTCTTCGCACCTCTTTGCACCTCTTTGCACCTCTTCGCCGCCCATCCACCTCCCGCCCACCTCCCTCCAGCATGGACCTGGTAGGCTCCGAGGCGCGCAAGACGGGCACGCGGGGCGGGCGGGGCGCGTTCACGTGGGACGCGGTGTCGTCGCAGGAGCGGCACTACTACCTGGGCAACAGCGTGCGTGTGCCTGCGACGTCGCGGGGCGGGGACGCGCAGTGGTACGCGCGGGCGCGCGCCTCGTCTGCGGCGCGGCCGTCGCGGTCGCCGACGGACGAGGCCGAGGCAGACGTGGAGGCGGAGGCGGACGCCGTGCGCCGCCGCGAGCAGGCCATCGTGGGGCAGGTGCTGGTGGGCCGCTCGTTCTCGGACGCCGTGCGCGAGGCGCTCGCGGAGACGGTCGAGGCCGACGCCGAGCGCGGCGAGGAGAGCGGCGCCGCGGCACGGAGGGCCGCGCGCAGGACGAGGGATAGGGCCGAAAAGGCTCAGAGGAAGGAGATGAGACGCCGCGCGAGGGAGCTGAGGCAGGCGAGGAGGCTTGATAGGCAGAGGAGGAGGGAGAGGTCGCAGGGGGCGGGGTCCGTGGCGGATGCGGTCCGCAGGGATAGTACAGAGTCGGAGAGGGAGAGTGCCAGGTGCCGCTGGGAGGATGAGGTCTCGCGGAGGAGGAGGAGGAGGGGGAGACCGGCCGCGTCTCGGAGGAAGAGGAACGAATGGTTGGATACTTCGGACTCACAGGATTCGGATGCAAGACGGTATGCGAGGCGGCAAAGGTTGAGGTGATTGCATCCAACGTTTATTCATACTGAAGTTTGTTTCTGTCGGTGGGTTACCGCTACTACACTACGTATACTTTCTCGGCGACGCTATTTGGTCACAAATAATAAATTAACACTCTCGAGTAAGACAGCGAGTGCTGGGCTGGCCGCAGTGCTCTACCGTTTGCCCTGCGGTGCCATTCCCGACCCTCCAGCAGCTGCAGCCCGCCCCAACGGCATGCCGGGCACCGCCGCTGCAGTCGCTAGCATCCCGTTCTCCAACGTAATCAGTCTTGGCGCGGGTCCGCGCGACCGTCCAAACCCGAACCGATCAATCCCATTGCTAAACGTATCCTCGTCGTCCACATTCCGTGCAATCTCGAACCGCGCGTGTCCAAACACGCAATCTGGTCCATCTTTGCAAAACCCGGACAAATAGTTTGAGCAGGCCACTTTCTTCACATGTCGATGTCGGCATTTGGGCCCGTGTCTACAAAAGCCCCTGCCATAATACGGGCACTCGTTTCTCTTTTTCTCCGGGTCCACGTGACGATAAGGACACTCAGCATTAGAACACTCGCCATATTTTGAAAAGAAAAAACACTCTGGCATTCGTCCGTAGTCAACTGAGTGCAGATAGTCACACAAGTCCTGCTTCTTGCACAGCCCCCGCAAGTAATGTTTGCACACAATTAACTTGTCGTTGCGCGCGTGCCGCCATTGGCATCGATCCCCTCTCGTGCATCCATTTGGAGAAAAGAAATATGGGCACAAATCCGTCGAGGTGCCAGAGGCCGTCTCGTCAAGGCGACGCACTTCGTCAAGACCGTTCTCGACTTCAAACCGGAATACTTGGTTCCCCAGGGGCGCTATTGCCGTGTCGCCAGACACGATCGACGGCATCGCTTGAGTTTCCCCTCGTGCACCACGCTTCTTGCCGCTATGTGGGATGCCCTCGCGCCTGGTGTGCAACTGATGAGTGGTGAAGGTGAGCAACTACACTTCCGGGTCAACGCAGTGTGATGTGGATGCTTTAATCATAAACTGTCCATTTTTTGGGGGAGGGTTTTGGACAAAGTTTCTAGAAAAGTGTGGAAAGCATGAAAAGACCTGGAGAAGTCTTGTACAGTGCACTGTACTTTACTTGGTGTCCTCAATGACACATCTGGTCCGTGGTATACGTGTCCACGTGTCGGTGAGTGACACGCTCAAGCTGTTGTCTGTACAGTATCCACAACACCCAGAATTCCCCAGACACCGACGCCCAGAGGGGCCTTGAACTCTGAGTACTTGCGTCATCTTCGTTTGAAAACCTGAGACGAGCATGTGGTTTCTAGCCTCAGAGGGTACAGCGGCGAGGCAAACTACGCAAAACAACTTCAGGTTCAATGGCACCACACAGGGCATTTAACTTTTAAAGACAGGCATGCAGCCATAAATTTATTACAATGACTCGTAACACAAAACTGTGAAGATTCTGTAGACCAAAAGAGTTTTTTCTTATATAAGCTTGCGATCATCGCTGCCCAAATTCTCTACGTTTTTATTATTTGCGCTTGTGCAAGAGATGCTCTCTGCCGACTTATCAAGTTTTCACAAGATTTACAGAAAGGTTCTCGAGCACTTCTCACAATATTGTGCAGCGGAGGCGATGGGGACTGATGGGGAATGATGGGGAGCAGATATGCGTTGTCACACGGGGCAAGTGGGCCGATATCAGTTCGAGGGCTGGACATGTATCTCGAGGCGGAGGCGAGGGCGCATGGGAGGCCCGAGAGGTGATATCGGCCCGAGTGTGCCCCATGTGACAACACACTTGTCTCTCGGCCGACGCCTGAGGAAAGCATACCCAATTAATCAAAAAACGCACAGGTTGAAACTATGTCTCCGTCGAGATTGCCTCCGCACACCCCCTCATACCGAGCCTGTTTCGTTTCATCCGTTCCCCAATATTGCGAAAAACTACTGTTATCGAAGGTTGCCCTAGGGCACCTGCGATAACACCGCTGTTATCGAAGGTTAACACCGCTCTTATCGAAGGTGCCCTATTGTCTATTTGACATGCAGTTTGCCTCATATGAGGCCAGCTTTTTTTTGCAAAAATATATACATTAATCGAAACTTTATAAAGTCAGTTTGGACGCCATTTCTTTACCGTTTATTCCCTCGGCGATAACCTCTTGCAAAACATTGGGATAGCAGTTGTGAATACACAGAAAGACTAAGAATCCAATGAAGTTTCAATGGTCTGTTGATATTTTAAACAGGCGTTTTGGTTTCGAAGATATCACCACATAACGTGTTGAGGATGATCAAAAAGGCTTCTTTTGTAGACATTCTAAAAATGGCTGGAAAAGACGTGCAGATCTCACCAAACTCTACTCTTCCGCAGCGCAAAAGTCAACTGCGGTGGCGAGAGTATCTTTTTCCTTCTTGTTGAGAAGGCACAAGTCGAGAAAAAATAAGTTGAAAAGTGACCTCATATGAGGTCACATGTCCAATAGACACTAGGGCAACCTTCGATAACAGTAGTTTTTCGGAATATTGGGGTTGTCCCTCTAGGGCAGCTTCGATAACAGCGGTGTTATCGAAGGTTGCTCCAGGGCACCGTCCATAACAGCGAAAACTGGGCATGATCCTCAATATCACTACAATATCACCACACATGCAGGAGCTTGTGCGTTGCGTTTGGCGACATGCTGTGTGTCGCGCCGGCACTGTCGCACTGGGCTGATATCGCAGGTGGTTCCCTAGCTGATATTGTGCCATAATTTTGTCAGCCGTGAGACAATAAAAGAGCTACCGTCAGCCGGTAGAAAATGCTAGAGTGTCTATCCGACCGGGGCTTGTTCCATATGAGGACAGCTCTTTTTATTGCAAGATATATATATTAAATTGAACATTTAAAAATCTATCTTGGACATTATTTCCTTAACGTGCTTGTTTTCGGTAATAACATCTCGCAGAACACCGGGATAGCAGCTTTGAATTCGCAGAAAGATTAAAATCGTAATGCAGAATGAGTACATAGTTCCCTTTTTAAACTGGCGTTTTTGGTTTCGAAGTTATTTTACATGCAGTTTTAAGGTGGTTTAAAAAATCTTCTTTTCCAGGCATATCTAAAAACGACCAGGAAGAATAATATTCTGCATATTATGCAATTCTCACAAAGTTCTTTCTGTCCCCAAGTCAGAATTCAAGTACGGTGGCGGGGCTACCTTTTTCTTTCTTGTCGCGGAAGCGCAAGTCAAGAATAAAATAGGTCGAATAGTATCCGCATATAAGGACAACGGTCCAATAGACACTAGGGATCATTTTACAGTAATGGGCTTCAATTTAATTGAAAGAGGAGTTGAACAGAAGCTGAACTGAAGAAGGATGAGACGGATCAGTTCCATGCTTACGTGTCTGATGGATGTGCTTGAGAAGCACGACCTCGTAGTAACATGGATGAAACAGAGGCTGATTGAAAAACAGTGCCGAATTTGGTGCGGCGTGAGCTTCATTATGACTTATTATTTGCTCGCCCTTTGCCTCGAGCATGCAAGCGACATTTAACAATGGTGCTCTCAATGAGGGCTGACCGAATTTCAATTTCGTGGAATGTAGTCAAGGATTAGGTCAGTACGCCCTCCCTCCTCTCTTGGAGGCCCATTGCAGCGTGGTGCGTCAATGAACGGATGACGGGCGCTTGCACAATCCAAAACTACAGCTGTGTCGCAGAGGAGACTACAGTTCTCACCACAGAAGCGAAATTTTGGGCTTCGATTTGATCGTCATACAATAGGTTTTGCACAGCAGTAATAACTGAAATTGCAACGGTCTGCCTAAATAATGTTTAGGCATATTATGAAGTCTACGTACTGCGTACCACATATCGCAGTCAAGCTCTGCAGTAGGATGAAAAGGTATGACCAGTCACACCTTCGCCCTGGTGTGGTCTGCATTCTGTAGCCACATTCGTATGATCTACTTAGCTATTCTGGACGTATTCGTTTCAAAACTGCCCAGACCTTGACTCAAACAGGCACATGTATTTTTGTTTTTCTAACTTCATACTCTCCGAACAAAGCCTTGGTTCCATGTTTGTATGCTTTCTAGATAAAATCAATATCATGTTTTCGAAGCAGTTGTGATATCCGATGTTAAAACACAGTTTTAATGAATACAAGAAAAAGGATGAGTTATTCGGGTGCATTGCTTTCTCAGAGCGTTACGAGGCCCGATGTTTGACTCTGTAATAGTTTCTCATGCTATGGATCCTCATGTAGACAATCGTTGTCCATTGTACGAGTTTCGGAGTAGGCATGCTTTAAAGCCTTTGATTCTCACTATTTTGGCAGAATGTCTTTGGACCTGGAAGGCATCATACTTTACGGAAGCGAATTCGCGCGTAGTATCGCCTACTGCTCTTTCGTACGGAACGCAAATTATTGGCTCCCCGACTTTGTTCCAACTCCGTTATGCTTTCCAGGGCGGATAGGCGGCCCAAATGGTCTCCCTTCATGCAACTATGAAGTAGTGTTTATTCCCCCTTTACTTTGCCAACAAGTTTAAAACGAAGTATCTTGAACAACTTCAAGTTCAAACTCTGCAAAAATCTCACTCCATCGCATCACGTCATGACCGGCAGAGAAGCATCGTCGCAATCAATTGTTGAAACCACTCGTTGCAATCTTCATCGTGAAAGATATTTAAGCCTTTCAGATCTTCGCTTTCCTCAACTGCATTGTCAAAAAAATGATCGCAGTTCTTCGCACGTTCAACGAGATGTTTGGGACAACATTTTTAAAAGATTGTCAATTTCTCATCTCTTGCGGATGGGCAAGGTATGTTACGCATTTTATGCACTTGCGAGATTGCACATCCAGGGCATTCGACGCCGCCGATCATTGCTCGAACAGAAAAGCGAGATGGAAATACCAAAGACGGGAACAGGTCCCCTCTTGTGCCCACAAAGTGGAGATACAGTTGTCCTATTGCAGAAGGACCCCTTCTACAGCCTTGAAGTCTGGGACATTACTGCAAAGGAGCTGAAAGCCAAATGTAATTTACCTAGGCGAATTCACTCAATAATGCCGAACGGATTCGAGATGTCCAACACGGGAAAGTTTATCTGTATCATCTATAATCTTTTTTCTCTTGTTTACATGCTCAGAATAGACGCAGGTGATTCCATTGATACAGGGATTTGTCTCTTTCACGTTTTTCGCTATGAACTGCCGGCAAGATTTCTGCATGATGCATATGATGACAAACACTCTGCAACAGATACAAGATGCCTTGTAGCTTTTTCACCCATGGATGAACACATGGCTACACTCAGGATTGATAGAGGCGGATACCGTGGCCGGACGGTCAAGTTGCAATACACGTCGACAAAAGTAAGTGAATGCGGTGATGCTCTAGTCGAAACTGTCTGGGAGCCAGCAGTTCAGACAAACATGAAGTGGAGGACGTTTCAGTCTCCAACAGAATGGGTCTCTCTTCTTGACTTCGGAATTAATCCTGATCCTTTGCGAATTATCGTTCCGCCAGGGGTTTCGAAAAGTAAGGGGTTTGTGTTAAGGGCCGAACGTCCTTTGCAAACTCGTTTCTTGCCCATTCCGGATAGAGCCTACTCACTTCAGAGACTGTTGTTTTCGAAATGTGGGCGCTTCCTCGTGGAAGCCGTCTCAAGAATTCAACCAGGTACGCAATACAAAATATCTCTCCGGTATTGGGATATAGTGTCGGGCCAACTGTATTGTAATTTTTCCTCCGAGGAGAACTCGGGCATGTTGGAGCTGCAGCTATCGAGAGATGGCAAGTGTGCTGTGATATTTCTTGGCGAGTCTGCATGTGACCGGCGCGGGAACTGCAGCATCGATGGATGGAATATTTATTACTTAGAAAGCAAGGAGCAGGTGCATGTCGAACAGAGCCTCTACAGCAGGGCTAAACCGTTCGAGTCGCACTTTTCATTAAGCTACGACGGCGAGCTAATTGCCCTTGCAGCCGATTTCGATGCGTCAAAACAGGAGTACAACATTTTAATATATGAAGCAGGTACTGCAGAAATAGCAAAGGAGATGCGTTGCCGGGCTCCTCAATGGCCAGAATTGAATTTCATTTCTCCGTTACCCGCTCTTCCGGGAGGAGGCCGAGGATGTACACACTTGACAGGAATATGTGGGGACATGTCTTTAACTTCTTTTTCGTTGGAACACTGTAGAGTTGCCTGTACTCATTTTCGCAGCGAATAACACTGATTTCGGGGAAAGCACGAATAACTGAAGGCTCAGAGAATATGACCTCTCTTCTCAGCTTCAGAAGGCTTGTTGATTGCATATGAAGTCCTGACTCTAGGACACTTCCTGCTAAATGCATTAGATTTTTAATTTGCATCAGCATCAAAGATCTGTTTACGCAACTTTACGCAGTTTGTCGCTGATCTCAAGCACGTCTACAAGTTAAGTTCTTCAATCTGGTACAAGTTCCTCAGACAATCTCAGACAATCGAGGAGAGTTGAATTGTTGTGGATTCCACCATTTATGCAGGAAACCGGCTGAACGATGATAGCTAATTATCAGGAACGAAGATATGTAACGTGATTTGCATGCCACAAAAGCAATATAAACAGGTCGATGTTTCGGTTGTAATCTGCCCATCAGCGGTAATACAGAATTGCCTAGCACTTTAATGGGCGACTCCGAAAAACATAAAAACACATTTTGTGTATGCGCAAATCCGCCGATTTTGATTGAGTCGGAGGTGTTTGTGCATACACAAACCGCCGATTTGCTCTTCGTTCCCCTCCCGATGTAATTGTTTGTGCACAGACACAAACGCACAAACGCACATCCGCACCCACCTATACCACCCTATATCATACCATGTGCTCAAATATTTCTCTGCGATCTGTCCGATCAACCCATCCCACCCCTCGGCAACCTCATTCCTATTTCGATCTGGCCTCCCTCCACACTTTCCTCCGTCGTATCAGCCGCTGTCCAACCCCGCAGCCCAACGTCTACATGGCTCATGTTGCCGACTCCGACGAGGAGCCGGCACCCGATATTTGTCCCCAAGCCAGCGGCTCCTTCGTCAGTATCATAGGATAGGGCGTGAAGGGAGTACCGCAATCCGTCCGCCGGCGTGCTGACACCTCACTGAGGGTGAATTGGCATTAAATGTGTCTTACACAAATTTTTGTTCACATGCATTTCCGTGCCAAGGCATAAAATACGACACACATACACAAAGAAATTTGTGTGTACACAATTTATGTTTTTCGGAGTCGCCCAATAACGCACAAAACAACTGTTACTCGTTCAAATTTTTGAATTATGCACTAATTCAAAATTTTGGTGCAATCCTCTTCTTCGCTTGTGTTATCATTTTCGATGCCCTCTTTCAAAACCTGGTCTTGCTTTCCCATTCTTGTGTGAACGTCATTGCATCAAAGCAAAGATACCTTGTGTGGAGATGAGGAAGCCGCCATGCATTGGATCGAAGACGCCACTCCATATGTGATGAAGCCATTGATGAAGTGATGACTCCACTTGTGGAGATGAGGAAGCCGTCCAATGCATGGATCGAAGACGCCACTCCACACTTGACTGCTTTGGTTCCGCAAGTCAATAACGCGCTTGGGGGAACTTTCGCACCTCAGCGCTCCTGTCTAGAGGCGGAATATCGCACCTCCAAGAGTTTGCTGGAGAAACGACTGCCGAATGGTCGACCGGCTACCGAGTCGGACTTGGCGCGATCTCGCATAAAGTGGGTTGACTTTATGCGAGATCGCCTGGAATCTCAATTCCATTTCTACGCATGCGTAGAAATGGAATTGAGATTCCAGGAGCGTTAAAGCATCGAGAAAGATCGACAAGTTCCTCACCTAAGCGGGATCGAAAAAGAGGAAACAAAGAGAAACGATTTGAAAGGAAAGCGTGGTAGGAAATCATGTGTTCCGTCATGTAGGCACGGCGTGATTTGGGCTTTTTTGAGTAACAGACAAAGTGGTGAGTAGGAACCGAAGTGTACAGCTAGCTAGCATGCACGGAGAGAAGGGTGATTGGGAATGTGATTCCGCTGTTGATAGCAGTGAGTATGCAAAAATCTGTGGAAGCGGTGCTGATCACTAAGCATGTCGGGGAAGGCATGGAAATCGCACAGAAAACTCACAGCAATTGTGTAGGGGGAAGCAAATTGCCAGATCTGGGACGCCAAACTAAGCACTCGCATTGGCTGTGTCCAAAGAAACAATGAGTTCACGTTCTGCTAGTCGATGCCTTTCCGAACATCCAATCACGAGCCCGGGTAGTTCCACTTAGCGCATCATAATTCATCTACGACGTGCGAGTTGCGTGACCCAACGAAGCGGATGTTGGATACAAGGCCGAGTGCATCCTCACCTGCCCAACGCCCTGCCTAGAGTACTACGTCACCCTCCTGAGGGGGGACGAAACCGCGGGCGTCCGTCTCGCGCGTCGGGAGACACGCAATGATGTGCCGCCGAAGGTGGTGCCGTCAAGGACGAGATAATGCATCGAGCGCGCATGGGCGTCGCATAGATGATGAGAGTAACGGGATGAAGGTGACCGGTGTGGGCATGCTGTGTTGGAGGAGTCCGAAGGCGGCAACTGGGCGGAAGCTGAGGGTGAGGAAGGAAGGTTTTCTTCCAATCAGTGCGATGAGGTGGGCGGCGTCAAGCTTAGATGAACCATTAGAGCCCGCTCAAAGTTTGCCGAGCCACAATGCCCTCGTCGTTGAAAACAGGAGGTTTGTACTGTATTGTTGCATATATCGCGGGTGTCATGGGTGATCGAGCACGGCGGATCTAGGGACTCGTCGGCAAGGACTGCATGTAACAGTGACACAATCGCCCATGGAATGGGGAGATGCTCTGGTTGTCCGTGAGGGACTGCTGAAGCTGGTGTCTGGAGATGGTTTCAATTTTATTATTGAAGAGGAATACGCGCTGGTGTCAAAAGTGATCCACAGAATGGTGATGAACACATTCAAGGAATCCCGCACGAGAGTGATTCACTTGCCAGAATTCAGTGGATGCGTACTTGAGAATATATACTAGTACTTCTATTACATGGCGAGGTTCAAAAATCGACTGCTTTTAAACAATCATTGTCGTCGGGGCGTGGCGGAACTGACGCGGGTGGCATGGCGACTTGCGACTCTTTGCTGACAGCTTCCACGTATCACAGGACATGGATAAAGAGCTGATGTTGTGTGCTTTTAACCTTGATCGCTGAGGTGGTTTTCTCTTCGCGTAAAGTCATGACAGTAGATTGGCACGAAAGGAAACGTGAATTTTCAATCACGTTGGCACGACGAACTGCGCTCATTTGAAACGCAAAAACGATATCACTTTCATTATTGCCACCTGCCACCATCGTAACTCCCAGTCTCACAATTCCTCTCGCAGTATGTACGCTTTCACCTCATCGCCGTTAGTTGGTAGCCCGTTTATTTGTCGTCCCCAGCTCAAGTCTCGATCATAAGCAAAGTCCATCGTATCCCTCCTGTCACAAAACGCAGTGCTACTCGCGTCCACTCCTGCGCAGATACGCCTGATTTCGGCGCCGCAGTCATGTCAGGAGATGCTCTTCGTGTAAGCTCGAAGCCCTGGCGGAGAATCGCAAAGCCCAAGCTCAACGCACAGAGCAAAAACTAAACGATATGAGTGAACAACTTGCCAAGATTATTGCAAAGTTGCGCACGGATGCAGGCTTGCCTCCCGTCGCCGAGCCCCCTTCCCATGCAGCTATCTCACCGTCCGAATAATCAGCTACAGCAATCTCGGACACAGATGACGATGCAAGTAGCACAGTGGATAAACCATAACATGGATCCAAGCAACCTTTGGCTATGAATCAACCGCCGGCACTGGCATATTCCTGATTGCAAGATTCGTGCCATCGGCTGTAACCTTACGTATGGCACCCCACGTACCTAATATCAGCGAAAACGGAGGAAGGACAGGCGAGGTCCACAACGGAGGGACAGAGAAGAGAGGGATGGGTGAGTTTGGCCACGTGGTCCGGCATACCCCTTGGCCTTCGTGACAAGCGTCTTCTGTTGACGTTGTCACTCGCAGTACCGTAGCGACGGATTGCTTGTCGCAAGGTGATGTCGAAAGCGGTTCGGTTCTTTTGTACGGGGGACAGTGGTGAGCGCTTGCGGCGAAGACAGGCGCTATTCGTGAGACCATATGGACTATTAAACGGGATACAAGAGAGAGGGTGACATCTTGAATGTGGGAAAACATTTAATTCGTTCGTGGCGGCTCTCCCTAGAGCTCAAACAGTGCTACAGATCTATAGTTGCCCGCACACGCAAGTGAGGAATCATACGACATTTTGGCGGTTGTTTTGACTTCCCTATCCGCCTTCCGACAAAGCAGGTCGCCCCAGTTCCCTTTTTTTCGTTCTGAGCAGATAGGGAAGAGGGCACCGGGGTGAAAAACTGACAAGCATCAAGTGTTGTATATATGAAGATTGAGTTCTCGATCCTTTCCGGTGGCACTATTTCGTTGCTGACGGGGCCTTCGTAGACGAAGCGGTTTTCTGGGGTGTTTTGCGCTTCCTGTCTCTTCTTTCTTCAGAAGTCTCTGATATCGTTTTTGTTGATCCAGTGTCCATGGAAGATATATCCGAGTCTACTGTCCGTCTATACTTCCTAGAAGTATGGCAGGTGGCTGAATGACAATCAGCACGAGCATGGGAGCGGGTGCCGTCGCTGTTCTCGATTGTTCTATATCCGCACATTGGTGATGAAGCTATGTACAAAACCCGAGCTAGTGATTGATCCCAAGGGAAATTTCTTTGCACAAGAACAAGTGACCTTGTCAATAAAGTCCCCCTAGCATCTGTGCAGAGGGCATCTCAATATCTAGATTTTCCCAGCCACTGGGTCTTGAGATGCGTCTAATTTCCAATCAGATGAACCTAAAACGAGATGGTTTGCTGCACGGCGCATCCGCATCCGCGCAGCAAGAATAAAAAACTCACCAGAAAAATTGAGCGCGCGCAGCGTCCGCTGGGCCCGCGGCATCCAGACCTGTTAGGAAAGCATTATCTCAACGGTTGTCCTGACACCTCGATCCGCTTTCCGAGAACGCCTCCCGCTGCACCTCCCTTCCTCCCTTGTGCACTCCCCACAATCGCCCGATCGATGCTCTGTTCTTGTCAAAGAGCAGATCGAACATCCCATTTGACTGTCGTGTTCGTTGTTGCCGTTGCTCGCGGCACGACAAATCGAAATCGCCAGCACAAGAATCATTCCGCCTTGCAATACGCACGCTATTGCCATAAGAGGCGTGCCAGAGATGAAAATTCTTGACAAAGTGGAATTTCAAGACGAATGTAATCAGTTTCAAGCGTCGTATGTCACCTTCCACGACGGTGAGAATTATTACAAAGCTCAGTCATCGGTTCTTGTACCGGAGAAAATAGACGAATGCAACGTCGCGACGTTGAGCAGTGTCCTCATTCCACAACATCACATCTTCCCGTTATATGACCACAATCTCAGCGTCAGTCAATCGCATATTGTCGAGACTGGATATGTGAAGATACCGAAGCTATTTCGCTACAACGCCAATGAACCTGACAAGATACCTGCTCGTTTCTTGTGCGAAGCGCAAGTGCTCGAGGCTTTGTCAAAGAGCCCGCATCCCAACGTTGTGAGATATATGGGCTGCGTAGTGAAGGAAAATCGCGTAGTTGGTCTGTGTCTAGAGAGATGCGTCGAAACTTTATACCAACGAACTTGGTTAAAAAGAGAAAAAGTAGACAATATGAAAGTAGTTGATAGTGTGCGACGTGGTGTAAGCCATCTCCACCAGCTCGGATACTGTCACAACGACATCAGTCTCGAAAACATCATGTTTCGCGAAGACGATTCGATTACAATAGTGGACTTTGACTCATGTCAACGAACTGGAGACAGGTTGGGGTCGAAGAAAGGAACTCCGGGCTTCTGTGATGAAGCCGCTACTATGTCTAGGCCTGAGAACGACTTTTATAGCCTCGGCAAGGTGGAGGCATATCTACGAACCGGTAAACTGTTTCCGTAGTGAGGCCGTTGTACTCACCGGCACATTGCGATACTTCGTATCCGAAGATAAGCGTCAACGTGTAATCGCATCCTCTGCCTCTGCGCAGACTCTGATTTTTTCCCCACCTCCTCATCCGCTTTGTTTCTACTGCGTGGCTCGTTGGCAAGTTGGACAACCATTTGCGCGTCTCGATACGTTCACAGCACGTCAATACGCTTCAAATCAATGACGGCGCCACCGCAGGGGACTTTATTTTCGTGGAGGTTGACAGAATGTTGGAAAGAAGCGGAGAGAGGACCAGAAGGAAAAGCGATAATTGAGTTGCTGGGAATGGTGGTCAGGATAAAACGCATCTGTCGAAAGCGGTTGCACTTGAGCTGGTCGATGCGATAATCAGCGATTTAACTGGTCTCGATCCGATGCTGGAGTCGCCAGCCAAATGGGATTTTGGCTTGCACAAGTATGCCCGAGAGAGTGGGTCGCGCCCGCGTTCACGATTTCCATCTTGACAACACGACATCGCTAGAGCCGTGCAAAAAGTACTCCTTTACTGGCTTCAACCTACTGTACTCTAAGTCTTCTTTTATTCTTCGTCCTCGAGTCCCAACGCGTTCGACTGGGCTAGGATGCAGAAACAGCACGACTTCGCTGTGCACCAGAACTGAATCATGTCTTGCGCCGTAGCGTGTGTCCTACCAAACATATCTGCCTTCTCTAAGCGCTAACTGCCATTTTCTCCAAGCGCATACCTGTTTCGATTACTCTTCATAACAGCACCTGATGGATTACTACCACATCATCCTCGAACCCTGTCACCAGAACCTTCTGCCGCGAATCAAAGTGCCACGCTTGAGCATTCCATACAGTAACGGGAAGTGTAGCCAAAGTGAGATCTTGGCCCTGAAAACGCATTTTCACAAGCGGAGAGAATGAATGGCACCAAACCTGCAAGGCCTCTTCGTCCTCTTCGTCCTCTTCGTCCTCTTCGTCCTCTTCATCGTCACCGCCTCCTGCCTCGACCAGTCCGACAGTCTACTCCAGTTTCCACTCCGGACGCCCAAAGTCTCCGTAGCTCTCACCATCGTTCCGGTGATATCAACTCTTGTAATCATACCATTACGCTTCCGTGGTTGGCCAACGGGCTGGCCGCTCTCGGCGTCCCACACCCTCAACGTTTGTCGCTTGATCCTTATTCTTGAGCCGACTTGTCGCGAAATTCATCATGACGAAACAGGCGCAGTTGTCTCTGCGCCGTTCGCCATTGAATCGCATTTTCGTCGATGTTCACAGGTTCGAAGTGCTTGCATTGTCTGTAGAACGGGCTGGATGGTTTGGAATGATTGTGATGAAGGCGTTGTCACTGCAACGCCACACAGTGGTTCATGTTCATCATAGCAGACTGCTAGGCCGAATTTGAACATGGAAGGGGCGGTGGCGGTGGCGGAGCTGCGCAGAAGGGACCAGACGTTGCCCGGGTCGAGATGGCAACAAAAATTTAAAAAAGCCAGTCTAAAAGTAAATTCGGTCGTTTTGTGCACCGACAATGGGCGACTCCGAAAAACATAAAAACACATTTTGTGTATGCGCAAATCCGCCGATTTTGATTGAGTCGGAGGTGTTTGTGCATACACAAACCGCCGATTTGCTCTTCGTTCCCCTCCCGATGTAATTGTTTGTGCACAGACACAAACGCACAAACGCACATCCGCACCCACCTATACCACCCTATATCATACCATGTGCTCAAATATTTCTCTGCGATCTGTCCGATCAACCCATCCCACCCCTCGGCAACCTCATTCCTATTTCGATCTGGCCTCCCTCCACACTTTCCTCCGTCGTATCAGCCGCTGTCCAACCCCGCAGCCCAACGTCTACATGGCTCATGTTGCCGACTCCGACGAGGAGCCGGCACCCGATATTTGTCCCCAAGCCAGCGGCTCCTTCGTCAGTATCATAGGATAGGGCGTGAAGGGAGTACCGCAATCCGTCCGCCGGCGTGCTGACACCTCACTGAGGGTGAATTGGCATTAAATGTGTCTTACACAAATTTTTGTTCACATGCATTTCCGTGCCAAGGCATAAAATACGACACACATACACAAAGAAATTTGTGTGTACACAATTTATGTTTTTCGGAGTCGCCCAATACTGTGCTTCGAATTTTTGACAAATTTCTTCGCGAAGCAATAGCGGCAGGCCTATCCCAGGCATGCACGTGAGAAATCTGGGGAGAACAATTTTCACGTCTTCCTCCGGTAGGGGCCTAATGACGCAGTCGATTTGAGCTCTGAACTGCTCACTGGTGTCGCTTGTGATATGGCGCAATCCATTTTGAGGCTTGGCCGTCAGAGTGGATTCTTGAGCGCCATTGCAACTACTAGGACTCATTCGCGCACATCAGGAGAAATTCTATCTAGAGCGTGGAGATGCCAAAGTCTGGTGTGCACCTGGCAAGTCCTAGAAACGAGACCGCCAGCAGGGTTATGGCGCCGAGATCAGAGTCCAGCGTGGGCCTGCGTAGCTGGAAGCCCACAAATCGGATACTCGTCTATGATGCATTTTGATAAGGTTCCCGACAAACTGCCCGATTGGTGGGACGAGGAAGACGAGGATGAGGAAGAGGACAATGACCATGAAAAGGGTGGAACTGGTAATGGGAACAAGGGTCGAGGAGAGGGAGGGGGCGCAGGAGGTGGCGGAGGAGGCGGAGGGGGAGAGGAGGGAATTTTCGCGCTTCTACTCGCTGCGTACGTGCGTGCCATCAAGACTAACCCGGTGCGTACTAAGGCATTATCGACGGGGCTGATTGCAATTCTCGGAGACCTTCTGGCACAGAAAATTTCACAGCGCGGCGACGGACAATTTGTCCTTGACATGCGTAGATCGGCATCAGTGGGCATCTGGGGACTGCTTGCCTTGGGACCTGCTCTGCATTATTGGTATGGGATTCTAGACAGATTGTTTCTGGGGAGATATGCCGTGATCAGTAAGCTTCTGAGTGACCAGCTGTTGTTCGCTCCGGTATGTAACACTGCATTTATGTTAGGTGTCGGTTCCCTTGAAGGAAATCCGTTCAGTGAAGTGTCAAAGACAGTGCGGGAAAAGTTTTGGCCATCAACCAAAGCGAACTGGACATTATGGCCTGCAGCGCAACTGTTAAATTTTTCACTTGTGCCGAAGACATTTCAGATTGTCTACGTCAATTGCGTTGCTCTGGTATGGTCCGTCATACTTGCATACATCGCACATGATGAATGAGTTCCTACTTGACATCGAGCATGATTTCGAGCGACGACGCCTCACCGACTCCTTGGACAAGTCACTTGATTTGCACAAGCTAAGCATCCTGAAATGTATGAATGTATCTACGTTGTTGGGGCTATATCTTTCAAAATAACACGCAGCTGCGATATTTGCAAAGGAATGACAAGCTGGGCAGCGGCATCAACTCCACGTCGAGACTCGAGAAGCTGATGTGTTTCCAATTCCGTGAGAATAACCTGCAATGTAGCAGGTTCAGAGACGAGAAATTGACACTTCGATTGTTCGAAAAGGTCATTAAAGGTGGTTCGCAGTTGAGTCCCTTTTCGTGAAGCTTCTTCTGTCTCTCTCATAAGAGCCTCTCCCCCGGTCTGTCTTTCTGCCAACAGCCGGAACACCTTGCGGGCACGTTCTGATAAGGATCTGAGAAGTGCGATAGCCCCCTCAATTTGTCGTTCGCCACCTCCTCGTAGAAGCGGCTTAGAACAATACACGGTTTCTACGTCATACGGTATGAATGTATCCGCTTTCACCCAAGCCCATGCAAACTTGGAATAGGTCACACCGTCCCACAGTAGTGGTGCATTCACATGATCCACGCTGGCAGCAATGAATATATTGTTGATACGGCTAAGCATGGCTAGGGCCTTCTGACTATCCTCGGAGCGCAGGGACGAACCGTCGATGTTGTGCACGACGAGAGTAACATATTTATTCCCGATGCCCTCGTGAATTGCGTCGACGTAGTCGAGTAATGAGCGCCTTGCATGGTTTTGCCCCAGACGCAGTACGTCAACCGATATCTGACTCAAGACGGACCGAAGGCCTATAGTCGGGTTGAAACCGTTTACCACCAGAACGGTGGAAAACTGCGATTGGTGGGTAGCGAAGTCATCTAGTAAAGTTTTCTTGGATCCATAGCCATGAAACAGCAACGACTGGCCACTTACCAGCAGAAACGAAAGCTCCTGAAACCTATCTTTGACCCTATCGACGAGATATTGTTGTTGTTCCACAAGTGGGTCGGTCAACTCTTGCCGTGCCTTGTCAAGGGTGGAGGGGGGTAGGATGTTTAGTGAAGATAAAGTCAAGTTGGAAGTTCGAACAGTCCCTCGATACGCTTCAAAATATGAGGAGCCAGTGAATTCATCATCGACCGAGATAGTCCGTGGTTTCGCCAAAAAGGTTTCCTCAGCCTGTACATCCACGTCTTCCTCCGCCGTCTCATGAACTGAATCATTCGAGTCCACGTCGTCAATCCCATCAGCCGAATTGGATGGGACGTTCTTCACACCTGTTGCAGTACCTCTGCCTCTGCCTCTGCCTCTGCCCCGTCCTCTGCCTCTGCCGCGCCGGGTTGCACCACGGCCGCCAACCAGATCTCCTCCTCTTCCCCGGCCGCGAGGGCGTCCACGCCCACGCCCACGCCCACGCCCACGCCCACGCGCAAGCCCGGATCTGGCCCCTCTCCCCCGACCGCGACCACGGCCCCGCGCAGGTTGATTCGGGAAGACTACGTCGTCGTCTGACGATTTGTTGGCCACCCCAGTGGTGCTTTCGATATAACGAGAGTTCGGGGTTCGTGTTCGTTTCGCGGGTGGGGCGTCTTCATCCACAGTTGCGGGCCGTGCTCTCCGTCGCACCATTTCGGCGATTGGATGACGGTGTTTTCGAGAGTGAGTGGCAGATTTTGAAAGTCTTACAAAAGCATCGGACGGAGGGAGGTGGACACTTCCCGGAAGAAAGCGTGTTGGGAAAGTGAAAGGAGCTGATGACTGGGAGCACCACTATTATACTTTCCCGCGAAAATAGTTTAAGCACAGCCAATCACAATCCACAGTCATCTTCAAGCTGCACTCATTTCGTGTAAGTTATGAAGTTATGGGATCTCAGGTCTTGGCCATGGTCGAGACAAGTTCAGGGACGGAGTGCACTGATCTGTTGCTCAGCCTTGGACGAAGGAAATCGATGAACTATCTCTCTAATATCCATCGGTGCTCGGCCCCATGGCGGTTAGCACTACGTGCCACGCAACTTTGTGCTTGAAGGCTCACTGCGAAGTAACGGCGTCTGAAAATGCTGTACGCAAACACTGGCGAAGCGCTACAAAGGAGAGCATCAGATCGGGATGCATTTCCGTGCTTACAAACTTTCGTACGAAACGGAAGGCACGCTCGACGGCTAATATGCAGTTCTGAGTCTGGAGGGGACATGCAACAGGGCAGTCGATGTGGTCACGAAAACGAGGAGGCATCATATCGTGAACAATATAGGATAGCTCGCGATGATCGATACCACCACAAAAACAAAAGTACATGTAGCGCTTACCAATGTTCACTTCATTGTCACATGACGTTGGTAGTATCATAGGTACGTGCAACAGCACGGCGGTTGAGCGCCTTTAACCACCGGCTCGTGGGTTTTCACGGCTCTCTACGCGCGGAATGCACTCCTATGGTATGCCTCATGTCTCGCAGCTGCAGCAAATAACGATCGCAAGCTACAATTGCCCCGTGGGAAAGCACAGTCATTTCTCTTTCACGTGCAAGCTCTACTCTTGGGGCAAGTGTCCGCAACAAAGGTACACGACTAGGGGCGGTAGCGATGTGGTCCACAGCGAGTGATTCTGTCTATGGTTTCACGTAGGCAGACACCGAAGGCTTGACCCGCCGAAAAAAGAAAAGAAAAAAAAACACGCGTACGCCATAAACCTGAACGAGGTTTCGTAGATGCCAAATATGCTCTTATGCAATAGTGATGGAAAACTAGGCACAGCCGGAAAACTGCACAGCTGCCATTCCACAAGCACTCAACTCGCTGCTGCCTCAGTCTCCATTTCTACTGCAGGTGCCTTTCCAACTGAACGTCATGGGCCCGGATCAGATCTGCGGGTTCGAGATCAGCGGTGCGGGCAACGTTTGCCCGATGGTTTCGAAGCGCGGAAACGGGCGGCATACACTGCTCGCCGGCCTTTCGTGAGAAAAAGTGCATCGGCCCGCACCGGCGATACAGTTATGTCACAGCGCCATTGGAAAGGCACGGCACGGCACAACAGCGGGTGCACGCACTACCGCATTGGCCTTCGAGGGCAACACGGTACTGTAGCTCTCGAGCGGAGTAGGTGTTCCGCGCCGCACTGGTGTGGACCTTGAAGTCACAAACGGCAAAAAAATAAATAAGAAAATAAAAAAGTGATCTCTTGAGTTGAAAAACGTCATGGCGGTATGTCATGATTTGCGACGAGAGTAACGATCGGGTGGTGAGTTGCGACACCATGTGCCCCGGCTGCCGTTCATTAACATTAAATGAGGCGGGGCGGACATCGTCCCGGATATAAACAAATCAAATATTCTTCCTCCTAATTCCGGCGATGGCCCGATGACCTTTTTGCCCAGTACTATCGGGAACGATCCAAAAAGAAAATTGTACATATATATGCGGAAAACAATACAGAAACGAGCAAACGAAACGCAGCAACAAGGCGGTTTATCGCCGTGCAACAGGAAAAGATAACATGACTATATTACGTAAAAACAGCATTACTGCACTCTTCTGGTTAATTGATAACGCAACATTCCTTCCTCTGTCTACAAGTACACTAGGTGTGGCTCTCCACTCTAACGACTTTCTAATCTTGCGCCGACGTCAACTGGACGCCAGCCGCATGTGGATATAGACAGGGATGATATGGCGGCATAGTTCGTGGTACTACTCGAAACTCAGCACCATTAACATCCCTCGCATCCAAAAATACATTCAAAACATACAAAAAGAAAAAAGTGAGCACTTCTATATCCCTTAGTTTCGAGAAAGTGTTGTTGGTCCGTTTTGTTGTTGGTGTGCTATCCAAACCGGCGGACTGCATGCCGGTGTGCCCGATGTCAAGTAATTACTGGGAGAAAACTGCATCATGTCCGGATCAGTATCCAGCGATCTTGGTGTGTTTCCCAAGAAGAGTGCCAAATCGCCCATCTGTGCACTGAAACCCAACTGCCCTCCTAGAGAACCTTCCATCACAATATCCCCTGCATCCTTTGATGAGCGACCCGGAATCGGGATTCCATTCACATCATTATCACCAGTATCCATTGCTGAGTGCAAATAAAACTGTGACGGACATTGTTGTGGCGTACCCATGGCGGGTGGCCCATTAAATCCGCTCGAAGTGTGATTCAAGAAGCGAATCCATTCTGGTTGGTTGGACCAAGACGACACCATCTCGGCATAACTGGGCGTCCCAGGAGCGGGAGAACCAGAGGGAGGGGAAGACGCAGCAAAAGGGATTGCTGTTTGGAAGGGGTGTGCTGGTCCGTTAAGGGGCGTGAGATGTTGTGAACGACCGCCTTGCATTTGTGCGAACTTGGCCATGAGGTTTGCCGAGGATGCAACTTCATTTCTATATAGCATATCACGCATCGGGCCCACTGTGCCAGGCCCTGCATGGTTCGAAGCACCTGCGGTATTTATCCGGAGAGTACCATTTCCGTGCTCCCCATCAGCTCTCCGGAACGACACGCCCGGGACTGAAGCGAACGGGGAAGTATGAGGGCCACCGGATGAGCTCTGCGATGGGTGGGTCCCCCAAACCGGGACGGAATTTGTCTGTCTCAGGCGCTTGTCCTGATTGTTATACACTTCACACTGAGGATGCTTGCGTAGATAAGCAGCAAGATTCTTCCGTAGCGGGGCAGCATTGCCCGTTACTTTTCTGTTTTCCATGGTGTGCCATATGGGAACATGTTCGTTGAGGTGGAGGATGCGATGACCTGTGACGGGGTCGATGGGAGCGCGGTTCGGGTCCTTGTCCTGTCCCTTGTACTCCTCGCAGTCTGGGTGCTTACGGAGGTAAGACTCGAGGTTGCGACGAAGTGGGGCGGCGTTGCCAGCGATCTTGCGGTGCTCAATACGATTCCAAATGGTTACATGCTTGGCAGCCTCCTCTGGGGCAGAGGGGGCCGGGGGCTGGGTTGCCATCCGGAGAAGATGACAGTGTGCAGAAGGAGTGGGTGGGCGGAAATATGGGAACGAGGCGTGGAGGTACCAGACTGTCCTGCGAAGGTACGGGGGAGGGGGGAGCGTGAGGAGGGGTGTTCAACGGATGAGGTTGGGACAGAGGGAGGAGACGGAGGCTTGTAGAGGAAGGGCAGAGACAACGCGGGGGTTAAGTAGAAGATTTTTGAAAAGTAGAGGTAACTGGGTGTGAGAAGTGGAAGAAGAAAAATGGCGGGCTTTGTAAATGCAAAGTGTGGAAGAGGTAGTGTAGTGGGGGAGGGAGGCGAAGAATTGTCTCGGGCGTTGTTCAGAGTTGGCGGGTAGGTCGGTAGGTCGGGGGGGATGTAACGTCGGAACCAGGACACGGAGGTGATGATCTCGGGTAAGAGAAGGTATGGGGGGGGGGGGGGGGGGGTGGTGGGCTGGGTGGAGGGGGGAGGAAAGTAGAATAAACGGGGCAAGGGATGAAAAAAAGGAGGAGAAAGAGGGGCTGGTGTGCTTGTAAGGAAGGGGAGTGTCAAAAAGGGGGAGGCGAAAAGAAAAAGCGAATGGGAGACGAATCGAGGCGACACAAACAGGACAAGGGGTAAACCGGGCACCCTGAGGAGCATTGCGATACGATGCAAAGAAAGTAAGGGCCTCGTGCCCCACACAACGCAGCGCGCCTGGAGCGTCTGCGATTGGCGTATGCAGGGGCATGTGGGCCGCACGTACCGCTGAGCGGGCGGGCCACTCGGCGCGCCCTCCGCGGGCCCATATGCAAGAATCCGCCCCGAGCGGGGCGGGGCGCTTCCGCTGCGCACCAAGTGGCGCGCGAAACGTGAGCGGGGCCGTGTCCCGTGCGAGATCCGAGCCCGCGGCCCGGTGTTGACTGGTGACAACAAGCACGTGGCGGGCCGCGGCCCGGCCACGAGCCAATGGCGCGGCGCGGAGCAGGGCTCCGCGCCCCGGTGTCGCTGGCCCCGCGGAGGGGCAAGTGCATGTGCGGCACACGCAAAAAGTCTCGCTAGCATGGGAGCGGGCCTCCACGCCCCAGTCCGACACCTCCCTCCCCTTCCCCCCTCGCCACCGTTATGACTAGGCCTGCGCTGTAAACTCACTCGTGGCGCTTCACGCTTATCGCCTTGTTGTTTCCCCATCGTTCTACACTCGCTTTTCAGTCCACGCCTTACACTCTACCCACACGTGGCCGAAAACCCTGCAAAACCCTCCCCTTCACCAAATGCTGTAATGCGCTACACCGCCCCAAAATCATTAGATCCCGCGCTCACCACCACGATCTCCTCCCCCACCACCTACCACGCCCACCCCCCTTGCCCATCCCGATGCCCTCTTCTCGCTCCCGACCCGCCTTCGCCATCGTCGCGACGCTCACCCCCCGCACCCAGCGCAATCAAATCCGCCGCCTTTCGCCGCCGCCCGCCAGCCACGCCTTAATAGCCGGCGTCGACGAAGTCGTAAGCGCCCGCACAGACAAAGCCGCGCGTCCATTCTTCAATCACTAACCCAAACTCGATCTCCCGTCGCAGGGCGCGGGCCCCCTCGCCGGCCCTGTCGTCGCGTGCGCCGTGCTCCTGCACCCGCGCCTCGCGCGGCCGCCTCTGCCGCATCTCGACGACTCGAAGCGCCTCACGGCGCGGCGCCGCGCGCGTCTCGCGGCCGCGCTGCGCGCGCACCCGGCCTTCATCCTCGCGTATGGCGAGTGCTCGCCCTCTGAGATCGACCGCGACAACATCCTCAACGCGCGTTTAGAGGCTATGGCGCGCGCGGTGCGCGCGCTCCCCGTCGCCCCCCAGCTGCTGTTCGTCGACGGAAACCGCACCCTCCCCGCCGTGCAGGAGAGCGTCGCGCAGGAGGCCGTCGTGGGCGGCGATGCTCGCGTGGAGGTGGTGGCTATGGCGAGCGTGCTGGCGAAAGTCTGTAGAGACGAGCTTATGGTGCAGATGGACGCGAGGTTTCCGGGGTATGGCTTTGCGAGGCATAAGGGGTATGGCACCAAGATGCATGTGCAAGCGCTGCTGGAGCTTGGACCGTGCGCCATTCACCGCAGGTCCTTTCGCCCGGTGCGGGAGGCAGAGCAGAGGATGGAGGACGGGGAGGTCGGAGTGTAACGGTTTTGGGGAACGCTTGAAGGGTTGGAATGTCTTGCAACAACTAAATTAACTGGCTACACGTAGTGTACTGTACTGAACGATCGGCATCATATCTGCCCCGGTTTTTGAACAAGTGGACCGACGCGACGTCCAGTTGATGACTCGACATGCAGACGGACGCTTTGCTGTATGCCAAAACGAATTTCTCATTCTGGCCTAATTTCTACAGCACCCTTGGGTACAGCATCTAGTAGATACGGTAGATAGTATCTACTAGATACTATCTACCGCTCTGTTGCGTATCGATAGTCTCGATATTTCTTCAAGCCTGGAACGGCTTTACAGTGCCCTTTTTTTTGAAACGCATCCCCGTGATACCCTACTCGGATCTCCTGCTGTACCGTACTTTTAGTATATCGCACAGTACAGTTGTGATGGTGATCACGTAGGTTTGTCCACTCGCTCGCTCTACGCCGCTTGTGAGCAACCAGTTGCCCTGTGTCAGAGATACTGTACAGGACACTCACTCCCTTTGAAGACAACTTTCACACTGCAAGCTTTCCGATACTTGTGGCACTCTAGCTCATCATCTCATGGTAAATGATAATTAAATGTCGTTGCAAACGTACCGGACTCTTGGCATTCGAGATGGCCTGCGCATTCTCTTGCATCTGCGCAAAATCAACGTTGTTTCCAGCGTCTTGGCAATTCTTCCAGAGAATCCCACTTTCATCTGTGCTTGGATACCGTAAGGGACAGGTGGTCAATTTCGCTTGCTACAATGCACCAAGCAGACTCTCACAAGCATGCCTGCTAACGCTTCCACATAACTCTCGTATGCTGATGCCCGGTCCAATAGTTCTCCAGAGAACGTAAACAAAACAAAACACATCTCTCCCGTAAAGAAATATCAACCTTTACCGGAGATTCTCTCAGCTGAAAGCAACATATGTTTTCAGATGCGCTAAAAAAATGTGTAACTCAGATTTTTGTTCGCGCGAGAGCAACCTCACATGTAATCCGCTCATCCCTGCTCAAAAAATCAAAATGAACAACTTGTCGTAAGAAATCTGTCCATAGAAACGAAAAAGGAACCTTCACGCCATATGCACAAAATATTTTCTTCTTTTTCCACGTGTATACTTTTTTCAGTGTAAGCATCGGCCAGCGCCTCTCTTGATATTGTCGACATTACGCTTCTCCGTCTGACCTGAACGCTGCTCTAGAATTCCTCCTATGCCAAAATTCCCATTCACCTCACCGCCCACTTTTCTTCGACCTCAGCTCGTCTTCAACTGCAATCCACATGCATGTGCTACTTCTTTGATCGGCTCTATCCACAACGCGATAGTCTACTAACGCTCACGGGCAACAACGCCGAGGCGGCGCGGGAAGACACACTTTGGACCTTGCTTCCGAAAGGCGCGTCAATGCTGCGGCCCTTGGTGTGATGTTCTCGCTAGTCCAGGGCATCTACGAGGAGCTGACGTACGTCAACGAACGCAAAATAGCCCTGCTCGGCGTCGAGTCCTCTGGAAAGTCTTCTATACTAGAATGGCTCAAGGTGTACTTGAAAAAAAACGCGCCTGCGGAAGCTATCGTTGAGAAGCCCTCGTCTCTGGAAAAAATGAATCCTACGGTCGGTCTTAATGTTGCGAAGCTTCACACTGCTGGTGAGAAGCTTCTCGTTTGGGATCTCGGCGGCGCGAAGGCCTTGCGCTCGATTTGGGAGCGCTACGTCGAGGATGCGGAGGTTGTTATTTGGGTTGTCGATTCCGCAGACGAGTCGAAGCTTGAGGATTCCCGGGATGAATTGAAAAAGCTCGTTGTGCGCGAGCATTTGGTACATAGCCCGCTCCTCATATTTGCCAACAAGCAGGATCAAAAAGATGCGATCGATCCCGTCAAAATCAGTCTTGATCTCGACCTTCTGTCCGACGCGGAGAAAAGGCCGCAGTGTGTGCAACCATGCTCAGCAGAGTCTGGGGAAGGCATCCGCGAAGGCATACAGTGGCTCATGGCCAATTTGCAGGGAAACATGAAGCTGGAGATCAGAATTCCTTAATGGACTGTCGACAAGAGTGCAAAAGCAAAAACTTCTACAAGGCATTATATTATTTTGTAAGGAAGGACAAGCGTGGTTTTGTCTTCTCCGATAGATGAATGCGCTGGTATCTGGTTGATACCAAATCCTGGGACATATTCTTCGTGAAGCTTTATGGGGCATCCATTCACGCTTCCTTCCTCGGAATGGGTTCTTAGACCCTTGTTCATTGCGGGAAGGCGAGGAGAATGGGGTTTCGAGGTTCCCGTCTCTTTGCATCCCTACTTTATGCTAGTTCTGAGTCGGTGCGAGGACGAAAGATGAAGCCACAGAGTCAAATGACTTGTGCGAGCTCGAGAAAGATTCAGGATATTTTGGGCCATGTCAAAGGCAAAAGGCTCTCGTCGTTTGCAGTTGCAATTTTTCAGAGAAGATGTCTCGTTGTAGAAATCAACAAGGATTAGCAGATTCTGCTCTTTGAATGTCCTCGAGATTAATGGGATGATACGTTTCTGTGCGTTTCCATGCGATTAGATATGCCTTATCAACATTGGTATTCAAGCGAGGTGCAACAGCTCGCGGTCACAGCGATCGGAGAGATAACGGTCGGTACAGGTTGCGTTTGGACCGTTGTCGTTGATAGTAAGTAGCCATTGAAAGAACACCTTAGGCGTGGAGTGACTACTGCAGTTGACTGTGATCCAAGCTGAAGCACAGGATTGCAATAGCTACAGTACGTCGCAGTGCCTTATCAGAAGCCGTTCAGCCCGGCCTTGCAAGTGGAGGACTGACGCTACAATAGAACTAAAGGAGACGGCCACCCTGTACAAAATGAGCATGGTAGTATATTTTATCCTAACTAGTGTTCACGTCCGTAAACATTCCCCCACATGTGCCAGGATATCCCTAAGAAAACGTATTCACCATGTGGAAACGACCCTAATCGACCCTAATGTTGGAGTAGATCTTCCTCACAAACCAGAACGAAGAAAAGAACCCAACTGCACCACACATTAACGCGAAGGCCACACTTACGACAAGACTGTAAGTAACAAACATCATTGTGCTCACAAGTGGCATGTGATCTTGCGCGGCTTGGGAACCAATGTAGTAGAGACTGTACAAAAACATGTACATGCCAGCAGATGCAGATCCACCGAATGCTTGCCACCACCACGTCCACCGCTCTGCGGCAAGGGTAAGGTAAGTAAACACAATGCTCATTTCCGCGCATGTGACGACAAGAATGGCGAAAACAATGGAAAGCATTCCAAACAGGTACAAAATTTGATTCTGCCAAATTGAATTGAGAATGAAGACGAGTTCCATGAACACTGTTCCGAACGGAAGAACACCAGCAAGAACAACATACGCTGCTTGCGGAATGTTCAGCGGTGATGCAGGAATTTGTCGCGGAATCTGGTTCGTACGAGTCGGGAACTCATAAGGCTTGGTCTTGTACCCGATGTAGGCACCAGCAAATACCAATGGGACGGAGATACCAAACCACATGAACAGGAGGACCAGAAGGGTCGTAAACGGCACTGCCCCTGATGAACCTGATCCCCACACAAAGAGGTTTAGCACAAAAAATAACGTGAACGCAAGACTTGGGAACAAGAAAGCTGAGCCGAGAGTCACAAGCTTCCTGCTCTGACCGTTCTCAAAGGACGCATAAACACGCGCAGAAGAATATCCGCAAATGGAGGAAGCGAGAACCCAGAGCGAGAGCATAGTGGTGATGAGACCGCCGCGGTATGCAGGTGAAAGGAAGCCCAAAAGCGCGAAAAGAAGCAGAATAGTAGACATCCAAAGGGTCTGAGAGCCCGAACCGCAAAAGATAGATAAAAGGACGGGGTACTTGGGTGTACGGAAGACATCACCGTGGACCAATTTCCAGCCGGTGACATCCTCTTCATCCTCCTCTTCTAACGCGTTGTATCTGGAGAAGTCACGTAACACCGTTCGCAGCATGACAGTACCGACGAGGGCAGTGAGGAAAAGTGAGATCATGAGGGAGTTGACGATGGAAAACCATTGAATCTGCTTCAGCTCAGGATTGGCTTCAAGGAGGTTGTCCCAACGAGTAGCCCATCGGTGCGAGGATTCAATGAAATCGACGTCATATGTGAAAAGAACAGGTGTATCAGGGGTGATCTCCATGGGTTCCATTGCATCAGAAACCGGGCAGCTTTCCTTGGTAGGCTTGGAATCTGCGACTACATGCTTGATGCTGTACGGTTCAACCTCAAAACCAACAACGCGATACCCTTCAGAAGAAACGGCATCAATATCAGGGACCGATTCGAAACCAGAGCCCGATGCCTTGGGATTGTTAAACAAAACTTTAAACTTGAGATGGTTGTTGATAAAGAGCTTGCCATCCGACTCGGATCGTCCAATATCATATCCAAATCTAAACGCAGGGCGATGAGCTCTCGTATGTCCCTTGATAACCACAGGCATGTTGTCCAAATTGAGTCTGACAGCATACTCCTGGACGATTCTCGTGCGTAGCAAACGGATCTGCTCGGCCGTGAACTTGCGCTCGCAGAGTACCTTACATTGCATTGGCGTCTTCATGCGAAAGTCGTAATCCGTGGGCTTCATGCGATCGCCCATAAGGACCTGGCCCAGATTGACAGGCTTGGAACGATGGTCCTTCTTGTTGTCGGAGCCGCAGAACGGCAGCGAATAGTAGTCGTATGGTAGCTTGTTCTTCGGTGAGGTGAGTTTGTTCGCCATCACGTCGAGCTTCTCACCTTCCTCATAGTTAATGGAGGCGATACCCGGGAGGTAGAACGCCGGTGCTACAGAGAGGACGGCTGCAAGCAGCGCTGTTGCTGTCACGCATCGATGACGGCGTGGGGTGTTCATGATGCGGAGAGAAAGTTGGACTTGCGTCGGCGCGCGCTCAAGCGCGTGACGAAAGAAAGGGTGAAAGTTTCGAGGCGGGAAGGTGATGTGGGATGCCACTGATGGTCGCGTAGTGGGCGACGGGGATGAACGCGGACGGCAGCCTGATGGGGACGGAGGTGGCAGGTGACGGATATGTGTGGGGGGTGTCAGTGGGGGACGGGTACAGTAATGTGGACGTGGAGAAAATGTGCAGTAATTTCGTAGATTTCGGGAACACTGGCGAACGTCGCAGTGTCAGGGCCGGTGCTGGCACCACCCCTAGCCCTGCACCAGTCAACGGCCCACACACACCGTGCTCGTCGTTAGGAACGGCCCGCAAGCGACGCACTGAACAACAAACGGCCAAGCGATAAATGAACAAAAAGTTTCCCAAAAATTTGATCTGAGCGCAGCCACTGGCTGACGATGTCCCCAGTCCAAGTCCCGCTTCCCTTGTCGCTCAATGCTCTAATTATTGTCGCTGTACAGCCACCATCCCCTTTATACACCGGTAGCAACCTATTTGCACGACTTCGACGCAATACCAATGGGATAATTGCATGATGATATTGAGCATCGTCATTTGCTTATTAAAGTCAGAACAAATCCACGAACTGCTAACCCACCACAACAACACACTACTTGTAAAACAAGTAACAGTACGCAGAGTGCACGTTCCGTCATCGGCCCCGTGATCCATAACACAAGGTTCACAAGGTTGAGATGTGACTTGACGGCCTCCAATTTCCCTGTTTCCTGGTTAAAAGTAGGCAAACGATGTCTCGGGCATGGCACAATCCCAAACAACTGCGGCACCGAGTATAGAAAGTTAAAAATCTGTGGTAGGAAAAATAGAAGCAGCGTGAGTGCGTAATGCCCCAAAATCGCAGCCATAGCAAACGTCATTCCCGCAAAGTAGCAAAAGGTATCCCCGACAAATACCCGCGACGGGTACCAATTGTGCACCAGCAAGCCCAAAGTCACAGCCACAAATGGAATCATCATGTCCATTGAAAACGCATGATGTGCCCGAAGCAGCTCGATGTTATCCTTCGGCACCGTCGGGTTGATGTTAAGTGCGTTGTGAATGAGTACGAAGATCCCAATCACGACCGATTGTCCCGCCTCCAACCCGTTAATGCCTGCGTAAATATTGATCGCATTCGTGCAGAATATGCTTAACAGCGACATGTACAGATAGTACCCGAGCCCGAGGTCCACCAATCTTCCCGACGCGGCTCCAACAAAACCGCCGCCCAGCGGTTTGGCAATGGCACCGACAAGCGGCGCCAGGGCACGCGGCATCACGACAGTCGTCACGCCGGTATAGTTGACCAGAAGTGGCATGCTAGCGATGAAAGGGAGAACCAATTTGTAGCGCCATTTTAAGTCAAGAACGTCGTCTGCAAATCCGAGAAGCGTCATGAACGTAACACAAGCCATCGCAGCCGTATACAAGCGGGCGTCACCGTTGTGATCACCCACGAGATGCAGCGCACAGAGTACGAGAATATAGACTGCTGCTGGTATCAGGCCTAGTGGCTCGGGGATCGGCCTTTCTCCTGCTGGTGTGCCGCGCTTATTAATGTCCCTGCCGCACATGTTGGCCCTCAGAAAGAGCGGAACCATTACCTTGATGAAGTGCTTCACCAGGAGAAAGCATGTAGCTGCAATGAAACTCACAGTCAGTACCCGAGAAAGAAGAAGCGGATCCGCCAATTGCGCTTCTTTGCAAACGAAGGCCAAAACGGCAATGCAAGTGAGTAACGCGAAACCGCCCATTGCTATGCCTGTTCCACGCTCCTTCATCTCGTCTTCGGGTGGGCGTGAAGGTGACGATCTGGACGAGTTTGGAGCCGCTGAAGACGGCGTCCCTGCCATTTGTCCCAACCAGAGCGAAACAAAGGTGTCTCGAAGAACGAAGTTGACTGCGAAAAGACGTAACGCGTCGACAACGTCGACATAGGCGCAAAGCTTAACAGCATTGTGGATGCCAGCGATGAAAACCCAATTCCACTTATTTTTAATGCCTGCAATATTGGTGCCCCAAAAAGGCTAAATTCTGAAAACTGTATCTGCCCTTTCTCCATTGGTTGTTCCGTATTAGCATATAACATGGCTGCCATCAAGCACTGTGATTCTACGTATTCACATGCGTGATGAGATGATGTAGTTCAGCTTACTCCCATCATCTCTTTGCGATTACTCAAGAGCTCCTTATGACATCAAGAGTATCCAGTATACTCCAATCTATCTAGGCAAGAGAGCTTCCATTATCACCGAATAAATGATGACTTCTCATTGAGAACCCATTCACAATAATCGTTATAGATATAAGACCGGAACACAGAAGTTAAGCATGCACCACGTTTTCCTTAGTTATTCTATCGCCCATTTATCTCGACGCCTTCCTCCATTTAATTTCCTTCTTCATTTCGAGATAGTGCGAAATGGCCATCCTTTGATCAAGATCGAGTTTCATGCTGGGATGAGATCTACTCCAGAGTGTCACCTTTTTATGTGGGGCGACAGTTGTAAACTGCCCCAGCTCTGTTCGTTCCCTTCCATTCCGGCATTTCCTGTGATATCAGCAATATCGGTGCAGCCATAGTTCATGCAGGGTAAGTTCTTATGATGTCACATACATTGGAGCGATACCCTCTTCATTTTTTGTACTGGCAGCAACAGTCAACGTCCAGAGGCTTCCCACGAACAGTGCTTCTGTCAATCTTGGCGTTTTCTAGTACAACAACTTCCATCGACCTTTTAAATATAGTTTAAAAGCGAGATTTGGCAGACCTAATGTAGGGCAGTCTAGTCGGAAGAAATCCCTCTCTTGGGATATAAACGTCAATTGACTACAACTCACCACATTTCCGAATAGCAGAGTTAAAGGTGGGCACATAAATTGTAGGTCACTTGGCGCCATTCTACGCACCAGCTGTAATGGTGCCATACACCGCCGAGTTGTTCAGGGTCGGGATTCGGTCATAAAATCGGGGTTTGAGGTACTAAATTGATTTGGTGATGAGTCATCAAAACTTGTCGTGCGTCTATGGATTGATTGGATTCGTTAGTGGGCTTAAGATACTGGTACAGATAGTTGTGTTAACATCGAGCTAGAAAATCATCTCTGCCACGACCGGAATGAAAGAGGGCTCTAAGCCAGACAAGACTATATAGACATGGAACAGTGATAAACCGGTCACCGAGAAGCATAGCAGACTCACTTATCCCCTAAAAGCATTCTGTGCAAATCGCTGCGCCGAAAAGAAAAGAAAAAAAAGAAGCATCGGCCGTATAGACATCTGAAGGCAATACCAACTCGATTGCTAGGTTGCCATCTTCCCCTTCCTCCCCTAACACCTAGCCAAAACCTTGAGCACATCAGGCGCGTCCGAAGCACTATATGCACTCGTATTCATCTCTGTGACAATGGTGAGAATCTCATGCGGCCTGATGACATCATAACCCGCATAACTCCAATCCACGATCATGCCCTCCGAAAACTTGACGGCCTGCGTCGTCACGACGACCGACACGCCCAGCTCCCTCGCAATCTGAACCACAATGCTCGCGCCGGGCGAGGCCAAGACACACCGATTCATCGCCACTTCCTCCGCCCCTATAATAACGGCGTCAACGCCTTCCAACAACTTACGACAATTGCCCAATAAGCCATAGCGAACCGACGCTCCCGTCGCGGCTGCCAGCCTCTTCGCGACGCCCCTCCCTTCATACTGCGGCACGACGTCAATGACGGTGAGCTGCTTGCGAATATTGATGGCCAAGAAGGCCTCCTCTGCGACGGTGCTGCCCGCAAAGACAGCGAACGAGTCCCAGTATCGCTCGCGCGAGAGCTTGTCAAAAAAGGCCGAGGTCTTCGCGCGCGCGCCGTGCACGCGGACGGTGACGAAGGCGTCCAAGGCGGCGAGGGCGACCTGGTAGAGGATGTGGTCGTCGTCGCAGGCGGCGAGCTGGAGCTGGACGGCGTCGCGCATGGCGCGCAGCCCGGGGGAGGCGGAGCGGCCGAAGGCGGCGGCGGCGGAGGAGGAGGAGGAGGAGGAGAGCAGGTGGGCGAGCTGCAGGCGGGCGTCGGCGGGGGCCGACTCCTGCAGCGCGAGTATCTAGCGGCGCAGCGAGGCCTCGTGCGACAGGATGGCGTCGGTGCTGCTCGGCGCGGGCGCGGCGGGGCGCGGCGACGGCATGGTTAGACGTCCGTGGTGCGCGACGATGGGGAGCGGGGGTCGCGGCGCGGCTGGCACTTGCGCTTGAACCAATCGGTGTTCCAGAAGAACGGGATCGGGATGGGGAAGCAGCAAAGGAGGCAGTAATGTGTGTCCGTCGTGCGCTACAATTTTCGCAGATTTCCTGAATCGGCCTGGGCGCGCCCTGGGCGAGTGGTGCCACGACAGTAGCATCCACGTGTCGCCTGCGCGCTATAATTCTCGCATATTTTCCGAATCGGCCTTGGCGCGCCTCGGGCGAGAGGTGCCACGAAAGTAGCATCCACGTGTCGCCCGTGCGCTACAATTTTCGCAGATTTTCCGGATCGGTCTTGGCACGCCCTGTGAGGGCGGCGGCACGCGCCCGGATTTGCGCCAGGTACGTCGCGAAATGCGCCATACCGTCGCCGGACTGTACGCGTTGTCGCAGACCGGGGCGGTACAGTGCCTTCAAGTAAGGGGTGGCACTGGCCGCCTGCGGTTTGCGCGCATCCAAGGAAGGGTCTCGTCCGTTTCGGTCTGCCCCCGTGGGGCGGTGCCGCGGCGGTGGCGGCGAACAGCGGGGCGAGGCTGCTTTTGCGCGCCGGCGGCGCGTGCGCGGCGGCAGGTGTCAGCGGGCAGGCGGCGCGAGGTGCGGCCGAGGAGCGGAGGGGGCGCGCGGAGTCGCCGAGCGCGAGCGCAGCGGGGCCAGCGCGGCGGGGGGCGCCGGGCTACGGGCGCGCCGACGGCGTCGACGTGGGCGTTTAGGCAGGCGGCGGCGCTTTGCGCAGCGCGTGCGTGCGCGCTTGCGGTGGGGCGCGGGTCGATCATCGCGGGCGGGCTCGGCAGTGGTAACGGCGTCGGCAGTCAGTGGAAAGGCGACGCGCAGTGCGGCCGAGGAGCGGAGGAGGCGCGCGTAGTCGGCGCCGAGTCGGCGGGCGCGAGGGCGGCCAGGTCAAGGGTGGCCACCAGCGGCGGGGCGTGTCCGTGCTCTCCCAGAATGGGGTCTGGTCCGTCATCGGCCTCTTGGTCTCTGGACTAAAAACAGCCTTTTTCCAAGCAAAAACTTGCCTGTTTTTCTCTCCCTGCGGGTGGACGTCGTCCTGTTGACGAGCTCCCATTGGGTGTTCCCTAAAATCGGGACTCTCCAAACGCCTCCTTGAACCGCCACCACTGTCCCGCGGGGCGTCCCCATTGGGTGTTTCTTTTTTCTGCTCGACCTTCGAAGGCGGAATGTCGAGCTTGTGCCCCCTTCTCGGGATGACCGACCCGACATGGTCTCGGTCAATGTTTCCCTGACGGGCCTGCCCCTGTCATGGGGACCGACCCGACATAGTCTCGGTCAATTTTTCCCTGACGGGTCTGCCCTTTGGGGACCGACCCAACGTGGTCCCTATTAATTTTTCCCTGAGGGCTCTGCCCTGTGGGAACTGACCTTACATGGTCTCAGTCAATTTTTCTCTGACGGGTCTGCCCTTTGGGGACCGACCCAACGTGGTCCCTATTAATTTTTCCCTGTGGGAACCGACCTGACATGGTCTCGGTCAAATTTTCCCTGACGGGTCTGCCCTTTGGGGCCCGACTTGACGGGACCGACTCGGCGGGATCTCGATTAATTTTTCCCTTATGGGCCAGTCCGAATGGAAACCTCACCCCTCTCCTCAGAACGACCGATCCGGGCGGCATAGGACCTTATCCGGTTTATCGGCTTCGTCCTCTTGAGGTTCTCTTTTTTGTGACCGATTCGGGCTTTGCTGACCTCTACCACCTGAGGCCGATCTCTGATTCCCTTAAAAGGACATGGCCAATTTTCCGATAGCGGTGTGACCCAACGGCAGGCGACGCGCAGTAGTGCGTAGTATAGCGCCGGCGGCGTGACCCAGCGTGAAAGCGACGAGCGGTAGCGGCACGCCGGCCCGTGGCGCGCATAGCGACGGCATGCGCAAATGCGGCCAGGTCCACGGTGGCCACCAGCTGCCGGGCGTGTCCGTGATGTCCCGAAATGGGTTTCGTCCGTCATCCGTGTGAGCGGTAAGTCCAAAGTTGGTCGTCCACGGGTTTCCAACACCACTGTGGCGTACCAATTTCCCTTCGTAAGGCTTGTAGCTACCCGATGGGGACGTCGTGTCAACAGTGAAAAACGGCATTTTTTAAGAAAATCGTGCCTGTTTTTCTTCTGAGTACGGTTTTTGTCAATTAACGAGCTCCCATTGGCCGTTCCCTAAAATCGGCCTTGCGAACCGTCGTCTTGAATCGGTGCCACTGTTCTGCAGGCGTTCCCATTGGGTTTTTCTCCTTCTTGCCTGACCTTCGGAGGCGGAATGTCGAGCTTGCCCCCTTGGGATGACCAACCCGGTCCTTTCCAATTCCCGTTTTAGGCGTCGGACCTGGTCTGTGGCGCCGTCCCGACATGGTAAGCAAAGTTATCCCAAGCCGGTTGGTGGGCCCTTCTGGGCTCCTGTACAGTTCTGATTCGGACTTCAAAGATTTGGAAGCCTTACCCCTCTCCTTTGGACGACCAACCCGGACGGTACAGGACATCATTAGGTTTCCGAGTTCGTCCCTTAAGGGTTTGTCCCCCCCTTTTTGACCGATTCGGACTTGACTGCAGTCTACAGGCCGCCGTCGACCACCTATCCTTTTTAAAAGGACGTCGGTATTTTTCCGAGACGGGTGGTACAGTTTACCAAGATGACTACATACCCTGTGCGAACTGAAATAAAATCCGTTCCGGGTTTGTCCTGTCCTTTCGCAAGTATTGTTTCGGCAAATGCGATCCGTACGGGATCAGTTGACCGCCAACGACAGAGGCGCGGTCGCTTCTCCAACGCTCCGTCGACCTTGAAAGGGTCACCCGTTCGAGACTTAAGAATATTCCGACTCCGGTCTCGTGCCCTGTTCTTTTTCGGGTTTTTCTTAAACGTCCGACGGGGTCTGTTTGCCTTCTTGGGCTTGTCCGATTTCGGAAACTCGGTAGCGAACGGCGGGTGGGGTGGTGTCCCCACATTGAAAACTGTAGTATAACGACGGACGCGCGCGCGGGGAGATTATTATCCGTGCGGCCGTGCACGGTGTACACGTGGGCGGGTGTGCCCACGTGTAGGGAGCGGGCTCGTGCCGAGTGGTCGTAATCTGGCGTACGTGTACAGTAGTGCACGTGTCGGCCAAGCGGTAGTTTGCTAGTATTACGCGTGTACGCTAGCACACGTGGCATCCGTGCGGTAGTCTGTAAGCAGCGCGTGTGTACAGTAGTACACACGTGTACCTGCAGCGTCCGCGCGGTAATTAGGAATTGAGGCGCTAGTTTTTTAATTGCGTACAGTACCTGGTACGCACTAAGCGGCAGGTACTGTACACTGGGACAGGTGTCCGAGGCGTCCCTCTGAGCGGTTAAGACCTGACACCCGTCCCCACCAGTAAACTGGGGCAAGCTCGCCCCCGTCCCTTTTGCGCCTACGTACGTCCGTTTTCGGTTGTCTGTGGCGCGCGCTGGCTTCTAACCCGTTACCGGTCGCTCCTGTTCACGCACCACGGGGCGACTGCGCGTAACCGGCCAGTGAGCCACTCCCTTTTCGCGAGCTCGTCCGATCGGTTCAATTAGCGCGTCGCGTCCGCGCCGCGTGCTCCCTCGCTAAAGCCTCCGCCTCTCACCCAACCCAGGGCGGAGAGGAGTTATCCCACATTTGGTACTCTTGTGGAGGGGATAACTCTTGAGGTTGAGCCGCACGCGTATTCGCTCGACCGCGCGCAGAACCGTACGGACGGAAAAGGTTGAGAAATCACCGCGTCGATCGCGAAGCGTATTCGACGATGAACCGACCGGATCAAGGGGGAGACTCCGCCTCCGGGCGTCTGAGCACCCGCAGTGGCAGTGGCGCACCGGGCCCCCGGGTGGGGAACCCCGAAGCCCTGCTGCGACCGCCACCGCGACCGGGCCGCACGCGAGCGTCCGCATCGGATGTTACGCCGGCCGCGTCGGCAGGCACTGAGAATCGCGTCCAATGAATGGTCGAC